CAGGATGGCCATTAGCCATGATGGCCAATCATCACCCGAGTTACAGTTCAGCATCCCTGGATGTCACAGTCTTCTGAGCTAGACATCCTGCTTACACACCTAGGTAACATATAAAGCACCATACAGGGGTTCAGATGCCAGCCATCCAGTTCTCTAATAACATTACATAGTAGATCATAGCGTTATTGTTAATTGCCTATTTTTTGACTGACTGAATTTAGGTTGAGCGGAGAGCACACTCTAGTCAATGCAGAGTTAAATCCCAGAGTATAGTGAGACAACCAGTGAAGCATGTACAAGCTCTATTTTACTGAATACTGAATTGGATCTATAAGATCCACCTGCATAGTCAACCTACCACTTCAATCCTTTCCAAATGATCGTGTCCATATTTTGGTGCTATGAAATTGGGTACCTGAAATACAAGACCATTGATGAATGTCGAAAGACATCTCCAGACCAGCAAAAATATTGACAAAACTGTTTTGAGTATGTATATTTAATAGATAAATGTAGCACATTTTACATTTGATTTTAAAGTGCTATACATATTAGTCTTACTCATATCAAAATAATCTTTTACATTATTTTCTTTCTTACATTTAGTGTAAGCTGAGAAAGTAGTATTAACCCACTAGTAATAGTAATTCCATTCCTGAGTTGAAGAAAAGCATCACTGCTTAAAAGTGCTACCTTTGTTATTGTCTTCAGCAGGTGTCTTGAATTTTTGATAGAGAAACAGATTATTAAATAAACTCAGTAATCTTTCCTTGCCCATACTCCCCAAATTGCAATAAGAATAACCATGACGATCAGCGTATAGAGTGTGCGGACTGTTGTTTGCTCATTTTCACACCAGTGTTTGCAGCCACAAGAATTGTGCCAGTTCTCTCCAGGGCTTGCTGATGGTTTAGGGCGGTGAGCACGAAGGCAATGTATCCTGCCAAACAAAAAAACAAAAGGACATTATCAAACTCCTTCCTTACCATCTCCCCTAAAAAATGCTCGATGAACATCAAAATGAACAGAGTTTAAGACTAGGATTAGTCCCTGTAGTTGCCAGGAATCAGGACTGACCAGAAGACCCACCTACAAAAACAGCCAGGGAATCTCCAGTCTTAAAATATGACATCTTTGTCAGACATTTGGCTCCTGTATATACACTGCATTTTTTAAAATGTAGATATTATTGTTTTACAGGAAAATTAACTCTTCTTTTTTCACAAAACTGGTCAGCATTTAACTTGAATTTCGAATAGTTGAGGAAATTGATGAACTAGGCATACTGGATACATCCAGCTCAATTCTAAACGTGGAATTCTGACTGGAAATAAATTCCACTGAATTCAGTAAGACTTAAAGGAAAATAAACATGTATAACATTGTGGTCTGAATCTTGCTCTATTTAGTTTTTTAATTCAACGAACTGAGAGAAAAAGGGAGAGAGAGCAAAAATAACATGTCAAACAAATAATCTATCCAAATCCATTATATCTTGTTAAATATATCTGTTGTCTCATTAAATATATGTGTTGAATTCTTCCTCTTCCCTTCCCAAGCTTTCTTCTTCATTTTTTAAAACTGATGTTGCATTATCAAATCTACTTAAGCATCCCATGATACAAATCAGTGAGGCTACAGTACTCTTATCCAATATTTATACTTTTAACTAGGTTTTTAAAACTTACTTGCTCCAAGCCAAGAAACGTGGCAGCTTAAGTCCCATTGAAATCAAAAGAAGAAGATAAAATCACTGTGACTATTTTATGTTCCATTAGTTTCCATTTGAGTTTAGGTGATTAATGTACTTTGAGCAGTGATCTAAGAGCAGTTCTGATTATCTCAGAAGTAGAACTGGAATGGCTGTTTATGATGGACGTCTATTGGTTTTATCACAGCAAGTAGCATCATCTACCCAACTAGGCTTATCCTAATAATGAAGTCCTAGTTAGTACATAGACAGGAGCCCACCAGATAGATTATACTGGGAAATTAAATATATATCTTGGAAGAAGGCAAGCCAGTTCTCTCTTACTGCCAAGAAAACTAGACCAGGAATTGAGCTAAGTGAGAGAATCTTTATATAACTCTTGACCTGCAATAATATTCAACTGAATTCACAATGCCTTTTTTTTTAAAAGAATAGTTATTAGTGGCATGCAACAGGACCAATTCTGGACTGGAAGGAGGCTGCAGTCCTAAACACACTGCTCTCTATACCACATGGTTATATTTTTGTTTTGTTTTTTTGCCTTCTGTGTAAGAGCATCTGAAAACCAAATCAGCTGGCCATCCACCCATCTCCACAAATATTTAAACAGATGTGGGTACCTTATATTAATCACTGGAAAAATTTACATCAACTACATTATGCATTCCATTTTAAAATAAAATATTGCATGGATTTACTGGGGTAAATAAATGTAAGCTTCCATTTCAAAAAGCAGATCCAGAAAAATGGAAGTATAAAAAACCATTAACTCTGCTTCCCTAGAGCATTCCTGTTCCCATCAAATTCTGGCTTTCCAGGAGTTGTTATTAGCTAAAACTTAAGCAGACAGACCAACACCCTCAATTTCTTCTGCTTCTGTCTTCTCCACTGTTCACAGCCTAATCTTCCACAGCCTAATCTTCCAGCAGACGTCATGGCAAATCTTGCAACAAGTCAATTCTGTATTTCTAAAGACAACACCTTATCAGAGTCCCTAAAACTCAGCTATAAAGAGGGAAAAAGGACAAGTGACAGTGAACTTGCTTCCGGCTCTCAGATTGTGAACCCAGGTCACTTACCTCCTAGAGACATTCATTTCTTTCTTGATGGCTCTTGTGCCTCTTTCCCCCAAAGCCAAGGGCCTATCAATCAGTGAACTGAAACTAGTAGCAAGAAGGCTGTTTTGCACAACTAAACAGGATTAAATCCCAGGAAACACCACAGATTGGTTGCAAGTAATGATCACACTCGGGTTCTCTTTCCTCACTGGCTACTCAGTCTTTATAAACAGAAGCTGCTAAGTCTGCTGTATTCTTTTCCAAAAGTGGAACCGTAGAAAAAGTCCTCCCTATTTGTATCATGTGTGTTTTCAAAAGGAACAGAGTGGTGGGGGTGGGGGGGATGGGGGGGTGGCAGAATGAGGGAGGCGAGCTTGACTGAAGGAGACACCATTCTGTTTTCAAAATTCAATGAAAAGACATTTGGAATACTGCTTTTTTGCCAAACAAGCATTTGCATTTCTAGATTTGAAGCAGCAAATCATCTCTGTTTATTTCAAAGCCCCCCACAGAAGTCCTGGGTGGGAGGTTTCCATCTCATAAATCACTTCAAGTTAGTTTTAGGTTAATATTCAGCAGGGACACTGAGAGTACACTTCACCCACCCTTTTGGGATCTCTTCTCAAATGTTGCATCCGGATGAAAGGAGATACATGCATCCTAGAATATAGAGACATTCTTATCCACGGCTCCAATATTATTTCTTCCTGATGTATTATGTGAGATTACCTGCATTACTTGGAAATAGGCAAAAAATCAGGAGTCTGGTAGCACCTTTTCCAACTCACAGATTTTATTAAATATAAGCTTATGATTTTTAGTGAAATTTGTCAGTCGGAAAAGGTGCTACAAGAATCCCCCTGATTTTTTACTACCATCAACCAACATGGCTCTCCTCCTAAGGTGGAAATAGGCAGATTTTTAAAATAAAGAATAACATCTTTTTAAAGTAAAATAATACACATGTGTACCCATAATTATGTACATATTGAGTTGGGTGCCCTAGTTATAACATGCTTTAGGAACCTAAGATATAAAATTGCCTAGCTCAAAGGAACTCAAAGAACAGCATGATAAATATTAGCAATGAATACTGCAAATATAATTCATCCATTCAAGTATTTCCAGAAAGAAAAACAGATCTCTATTTTGGATCTCTCCTTTCTGAAGGAAATACAATGTTTCTTCCTTTCCAAGTGAACGGCATGTTATTCCCATTATTGGAGGAGGCCACGTTTATTTTATAGTCAAGCCCTGTGTTTCTTGGCTGGTATGCTGTTGGGGTCTGGGTGGTGGGGCATGAACTGAAGGCTGCATATGATCTATCTTACAGTCGTATATGCCCGCCATAGTGCTTCATGGATCACCTGGATTCATGGTGGTGGCTCAGATTTTGAAAATCACTGGCATTTTCTGAATCACACATCCTGAGCAGAAAATAAAAGTTACTCTGCTCTAATACTGTACTGCAAAAACAAAAATATGCTGAGGTGATGTTAAAAAACAAATTAACTGTGGTGCAGGGGATATTTGATTTGACACTTCCTGGAGAAAACATAACTTTGTTAACACAAAGTCTAAAAAGCCCTGACATTTTCAGCTCAAGGTGTAGCTAGCCATGGAAAATTTCCTCAGAGTAATCCATCTTCTGCACCTCTTCACTGACAAGAGGAATCATTCTGAGGGCAGTAAGAAACCTCGGGAGATGACCCCAAGATGAAACCAATACGTTATTCATGAAAGCATCTGTACACCAATTGTTCCTAATATGCACTAGAGCACAACGTGCCCCAACTTCAATGACTCAGAAAGAGATGCTGCACTCTCATTCTGGTCTATGCTGAAAACAGGCATAAAGCTATAATATGAGCTGATCTTCTGGTTCAAAACAAGAGCCACCACAACCCCAATCTTCTCCTGCGTGTGCTGTATTTGTGGGGGAGCACAGCAGCAACTTAAAATGTTTTGGGAAGCCAACACTTGGGATCAGGGTGACTTGGCAAAACGCGCCAAAACTACGCTTGGAGGCCCCAAGTGGAAAGAGCCTCTCTGTGTTAGTCCCCGGGCTTTTAATCGAAGGCTGGAGTTAGGCAAGGTACTGTATCAATTTTTTCCCTCAAGCTCTTGGTCTTCCTAGAGCGGTCGCCGAGCGGTTAAGAATGTTGAGCGTCGCTCGGGTAGGAAGGAAGGGGAATGACAAAAACTACAAATTCCGTGTTGCACTAGAGTAGCGTAAGGTGGCGCGGACACTGATTTTTCTCTAACTGGTTAGGAGGCTGTGAGCGTCGTTTAAACCAACCAATGAGGTGGAAGAAACGGGCTGGGGGTGGGTGGAGTGGCCATTTGAAATGGAATCGCGGGGAGCTCCACGGAGGGGAATTGGATTTTGCTTTGATCCCTTTCTGAGGTGAATTCGAATCTAGTTCCGAGGTTTGGGGTTACATTTAGCGGCTTCCAGGCTGTGTGCAAGCGGCAATCGGTGGTGTAGCTAAACTTTGTTCATCCCGGCTCTGGAGACGGGAAAACCGGGCCGGGCGCGTCCTCCGAGGAGTGTCCAATTTATTCACGTGTGAACGGTCCACGAGGGCCTGGCGGTAAGGGTGTACGTAAGCCTTGGAGGTGTTTGGGCGAGGGATGCAACGTAAGAGTGGCAGGGGACAGTTTATTACAGCGAGAAACTTCATGGGATCTTTACGCACCCCCCCAAAAGGCGATGGGACTTGCCTAATTTTATTTATTCAATTTATAAGGCACCTAATCGCAAGCGACACTGCAGATATGAGAACAGGCTGCTTCCCTCAGGAGACAGACATTTTGCCTTTTTCTTTCCCGTGCAAAGTTTATTCTGCTTTTCATTGATTGACCTATTGTACTGCTTCAGTCTAATAGGGCTTAAAGCTTCTAAATCAGTGTTTCTCAACCTCATCAACTTTAAGATGTGTGAACTTCAACCCCCAGAATTCCCCAGCCAGCATGTTAAACTTAAAGTTGCGGAGGTTGAAAAACTCTGTTCTAAAGGATCAGCTGTCTAATAACAGGAAACAAAGTTTTATTGGCTTCAAAGTAAGCTCTTGAAACAGTACTATAATTCTTTGAGGCAGGCGCCTCAAAAATGCAAGTAAGATGCTGTGTCCAACATCCCAAAAAGCTGAAGGACTTCAGATGAAAGCAGAGCTTATTTCTAGATGGTTTTACAGCAGAGCCAAATGACCTTCTTGAACTGTGCATTAGCAGACTTGAAGCTTTCTCCCAAGCACTAAAATCAATAAAAGTGTTCAGTGAAACGAGAGGAAGGAATTCAGCTAGGAAATAGAAAGACAATTCATTGCAGGAAGATTCTTCCTCCAGTGTTGCTCAGACAGACTAATAAAGCAGAGCTGGGAAGCAATGAAAAAAGCTAACTTGAAAATATAATTCCATACCTGAAAGCTAAACAAGGATACATCTTAAATGTTATGAAGCCAAATTGTGATCAGGGTAGGAATGCTGGTCCAAGTTCATATGGTATTGAAGGATTGTACTGTTATTAGAAGGAAGCAACCTGTAACCTTTCACCATACATCACTCTCTGAAAAGTGTCTTTAAATGTGTAGCATCAACTCTATTGCCCAATGGGGTTTACTGATATATCAATATATGCTACTGTTATATTGTTGTAGCATATTTGAAATCATCCGTTTCCATGGCAGCAGCTGGGCAGATTTTTTAAAAAATAAATTGCTTTATATAAGGCTAGAATTCCCATCATAATCAGTGTGTGCTGCAAAAATTTAGTAGTGGGAGTGGGGACATAGAAATTCTTTGGAGTAAAATTCCAATCTTAAAAACAAGGTCTAATCTGTCTTATATTAAGCTTCAAGTTCTTAAAATGTGCTCTAATTTATCTACTGTCAAATGCAGATAAACTAAAGGAAAACTTACTGGACTGGACTTTGTATCAAAAACAGGATCACCTTCACTATACCTCTGCTTTCACATTAGATTAACCAGCAGAGCTAAATAGGATGATAGATGTGCATACTGGACAGAACTGAACTTCAGTTAGTTTGGCCATTAATAAGTTTGGAATAGTTAAACTTCCTTATAGCGCAAGATAGAAATTTCTTATATGGATGTATCAGTATTATAACAATTAGCTCTTTGAATTGACCATTTTTATCATTTCTGCTCAGTTATGCAAAACAATGGGCTAAAGTGATAGCTTGAATTGTTTAATTCCTAACATATGAGATGTGAAATTGTTTTGCAGTGACATCATGGAAGATGGAAAAACATTGCATTCAGAATATAAAACAGCAGACGTTCACCTCAATGGTAGGTGCTAAAACAATAATTTAAATACGCAAAGTGTCTTTCTAATTACTCTTGCGACTGCTACAGAAAAGTCTCAAAATCAGGCTAAGTCCACTTGATGGTGACAGATGCGGTTTGAGAAATACATGACTTGGTAGTTTCCCCCAGATTGTCCTTTTCTTGCACCAGGACATCCCACTACATCCACCCTTGATCAACCTGCACATCACGGTCTACCAGAAACACAAAGCAAATGCCTGGTATAGCATTTAAAATCACTAATGAAAATAGCATAGGTAATCTTATTTATCTTATTGTCATTAAGTGTGTTTACTTTAATGCTAATGTTTTAATTAAGCTATTTGCTACACACACATACACACACACACACTTTCTACTTGCCTTAAAACTTTTTTTAGGATATAAGTTAAATAAAGTGTAGATACAGTAACTGACTTGCTAGCAAAGATCTTTATTATTACAAATTCTATTAAAGCAGCTTCCAAACCAATTATTAATTATAAATAAAAAAACAATATTTTTAAAATAAACATTGGAATTCTTCTTGCAGATCAGCTGGAGGGAATGGTCCAACTGGAACAGATTTCTTCTTTCCTTGCTTTCCCTGTTTTTTAATTTTCATACTACATTTAATAATGTCATTGAATAGCCTGTTTTTGACATATTACTGTTATTGTGTGATAGTAAAGAATGCTGAGGATTTAGTCTGACAATTAGTAAAGGAAAGTGATGACTATAGTAAGTGTTAAATGTGTCACCTCCTCCTCCCCTCAGCAGCTCCTAGTGCAGCATATGCCACCAATCACCAATCTTTCCTGCCCCTGACCTCCCTTCAGTCACTGCCATTGATGTCCCAGCCCTGTGAGTACCTGTTAAGCAGAGTCTGTCCGTTAAACTGAAGGTTCATTAAACCAGTGCCTATTATATTGAGAGTTTGCTGTATGATAATTTAGTTCCTGTAGAAAAAAGTGAATCCCAGAAGTCATAATAGTAATGTATGACGGACTATTGTAATTTCAGATTTTCACCTCCTGACCGATGAAAAATTTGATTTTGACCTTTCACTGTCTCCCACAAGGTAAAATTAGTATCAAAATCAAGGTGCATTAAGAGCAGAGAGAAGAATGTGCAGTTATCTGACTTAATTTGTCTCTGTCATAGTGAAAATGAAGATGAAGTTTTTATTGGACCAATGGGCCATAAAGAAAAATGTATTGCTGTGTCTCTTGAAACCCATGAAGAAAGTGAAAATAGAATTCCGTCACTTACAAATGACCTAGCATGGAGCCCTCCTGCTGGTGATAAATTTGTGGAAATATTTAAAGAAGCTCATTTGCTAGCTCTCCAGCTTAAAAGTGGAAGCAAAACAAAGAAAAACAATACTGTCCATCCAGGGAAGGAAAAGACAGAGGTTGCCGAAAAATTTGTGAAAGAATCAAGGTCAAAACTGAAAATCCTTGAAAAAGGAGTAGTGACAGATAAAACACCAACAGCCACTAGAAGAGAGACATACTGTATATGGGAAAGTCCAAGTGGCCAACTGTTGCCTTCAATTCAGAAGCGTTTAGGGCAACCTGTCACAATAATGGATAGTGCTCATTCTCCCCAAATGCCTCTGAACACATCAAGTCCTGCTAAAACAGATAAATTACCAGAAACTCCTACTCTACCCTTGGCCCATGCAAAGAATGACACAAACCTTAAAAAAAGAAGCAAATTTCAGACTGTAAAAACACTACCTGCATTTAGAAATAACAGTTACTTAGCGGTAGGAGAGGTAAAGATTTTCCTTTTACATTATACTCTAAGCTTTAAGTTATGTCATAATATTAGAATGGTAATTTTCTTTCTAGTTTGTATTTAAATCTGTGGATTTGTAAATATTGTTCTTTTTGTTTCTGAGCTCCTGACTTTTAAGGATATTACCTGAATTCATGAATCTAAAACAACATTCCTGATTCTTATCACTGTGATTGGTCAGAATGTTAGGTAAAAGTGGCTAGGTACAGTCTGAGGCTAGTGTGTAATTTATTGCTTGTTTAAATGCTTATTGGTGTTATTGCAAAAATGCATTTAGCCAGTGGCATTAGAATTAGAATCTTAACCTGGAAATGAGGAAGGGAAAAAAAACCCAGAACTTTAAAGATGCCAAGAAAAAGAGCCAGAGGGAGGCCTAAGGCTTTTGAAGATGGTTTACCAGCTCCCCTGATTTCCTGAAATGTAGTTAGCTCTGCCCTAACCTGAACAGACCTTGAAACTGTTGCAGGTTCTATTTCAAATTTTCCCCAGACTGTTTCTGTGCCTGAATATGATAGAGGATATTGTCTGATGTGCCACTATAAATGGGGCAGCAGGAAGAAGCTTTGTCTTCATAAGAAGAGACAGTGCAAAGCAGAAGACATTTGCACATATGCATGATCTTTCAGTGTGAAGTATTACTTCAGAACAATGCTTTTCAGTGCAGTCTGCACTTTCAACTATAATTCATACAGGACGATGTATAGCTTGGAGAGGAGGGAGAGCGTAAATGAATTGGATTCCATAATATTGGAATGTTTAATATTTGCATTCTGAGAACAGATCATCTGATTCTCTTAACTAGTGGTCTGGTTACAGTTTGATGACATACTTATTCAATAATGTTTTAATTTAATGGAGAGAATGTGATATTTTTCTATATTTCTGATACCTATTTCTTTTACAAATATTTCAAATCCAAATCTTGCAGCCCAAACAAGGAAAATTGCCTAGTCCTTCCAACACAATTTACTCAAATAGTATGGGATCGTCTGAAGATTTGCTTTCTGACAAATCAAGCATAGCTTCGGATGCAGGAGAATCATTCTCTACCAGTTCATCTATGCAAAGCAAGAGAACTCTCCCTACTCCCAGCAAGGTGAATACTCTTAACTAATAACTAATTGGATTTGGACGTTGCTAATAAGTTATACATGGCATTTCAATATTTTAACTGTGTCTTTGGGAGGTGTTTTGATTTTCTCCCATGCAATGAATCAGCATGATAAGGCATGATTATCCAGCATGATAATCCAGTGATGCAGAAATGTAATTTGCAAAGTAGTAAGCTCTGTCTAATTTGGCCTGATTTCTTGCTGCTGAATAGAAGAAAATCCATATGCTACAACAGAGTGGGAGAGATGAGCAGGTTTCCCGTGTGCTTACTATTGAAATTATCCAGGTAAAGCCTAAAACCAGCAACCTGCAAAGAGATGCAATATCCCTAATTTGATGATGAAAAAATCTAAAGCTCAGTGGTAAGACCAGCGTGCCTGATTATACTTCTTGGCATGCAGCCAAATCATTTATCATTGTCTTTACAGTTGGGAATGAAGACAAGACAACTGAAACCTCCTAATGATGTTCATATGCGAAGAAATACTTCATCTTCCTCCTCCTCCTCCATTTCCAGCATGAATTCAAGTTTGAATTCAAGTCTGTCAATTTCTCCTAAAAGAGGAAATGGTAATTATTAAATTGGTTTGATTCTAGTGCATAGTTTATAGAGAATGGGGAACTGTAACTTAATGAAGACATATTCAAGTGGTCAGAGTTAGGCCCTGAGTGGGGAAGGGAGGAGCCACAGCTATTCATCGAAGACAGAACAATGTATGTATGAAAGTACAGCGATGACAGTGATGCATCTGTTGAGTAAATTCTTCAACAGCACAAGTATCTGTGACTGAACAATATATGTGCTCACTAATATAAATTGATTGATTGATTACTTGCCATCAAGTTGGTGTTTACTCTTAGTGACCATATAGATAGATTTTCTCTGGGATGATCTGTCCCCACCCTGGTCCTTCAGGTCTAACGGTCTACCCATCACTGCTGTAATTGAGTTCATCCACTTTGCTGCTGATTGTTCTCTTTTTCCCTTTCCTTCCACCTTTCCCAGCTAATATAAATAGCAAGCAAATAAATACTTAATCTGCAGTTAGTCAAAGACCACTGCAATGAACATACACAGAACAAGCATACTTTAAAATATGAATTTAACAGCAAATACTTTTAAATACGTTAGAACTGACTGTGAACATATTTATCAGAACATCTCAAAAATACAATAAGTCACTGCTGTATCTTCATCTGCATTGTGATTGAGTGAACCTGATTTGTTAGGATCAAATTACTATTATCTACAAGAATGATACAGATCTGAGGCTATATTATTCCTGCGTGGTTTGGCTGCATGGCTAATAATAAAGTCTTGAAAGGTGGTAAAATTCTAATTTAATTAAATAAGAACAATGAGTTGTATGTTGTTCATAATAAGAAAAACTAGGTTCAGGCCCTATTTTAGGACACGAATAACCTTGGTGGCCCAGATGGATGATATATAGTGCATTCGGGAAGTATTCAGATGCCCTTCACTCTTTTTCAATTTTGTTATGTTGCAGCCTAATATTACAATCATTCAAATTCACTTTTTTCTCATTAATCTACACTCAGTACCCCATAATGACAAA